ATGTGATTATTATCACAAACGAATTTATAAAGCTGAATGATCTAGCGGAAATAAAGATATTGACTGTTTAATAAATGAATGTGACAACATTGCAAGGATTAGTTTTGAGTGTTTTGAATGGATCCCCTTTGAAAGGTTCACTAATGTTGAGTACCTTGCAAAAGGAGGTTTTGGTTCAATTTATAAAGCATCCTGGTTTAACGGACCATTATTTCTTGTGTGGATTCATGAAGAAAATAAATTTAAACGACGTGGTAAACACAAAGTTGTGTTGAAATCATTACACAATTTAAAGCAAATTACATCCGAGTTTATAAACGAGGTAAAATGGACACCTTTTAAACTGTAAACATAATTGCTTTTGATTTCTCAATATACTTAAATTTTTAAAAATTAGATTCTGACTGCTCTAAAGTTCAGGAGTCTGTTTTTTAATTATTATGGAATAACTAAAAACCCAGCTACAAATGAATATTCGATTGTGATGACTTATGCAGAAGATGGCAATCTACGCGAGTATATGAATTCCAGATACGAAACATTGACTTGGGAACAAAAATCAGAACATTTAATTTATATTACTCGAGGGTTGAATAAAATTCATAATGAGAAATTTGTGCATCGTGATTTTCACCCTGGAAATATATTAATAAATAGGAAGGCTTGCATTGCCGATTTTGGACTTATCAAACCAGCAGATATAGAATGACCAAGAAATTTATGGAGTACTTCCTTATATGAGTCCAGAGGTACTAAATAGAAAGCCATACACCGAAGGTGCAGATATTTATAGTTTTGGTATGATTATGTACGAAGTTGTAACAAGTGGGCGGCCATTTGGTGAGCGGAGTCATGACATACACCTCGTATGCGACATCTATAATGGAGTACGACCCACGATACCAAATAATGTTCCCGGATGGTGCAAATTTATTATTGGAAAATGTTGGGATCCTATTCCAGAAAACAGACCAACTGCTAAGGAACTTCTGTATTTTATTAGATCTATCATAGATGGATATGCGATAGAGTTAAATACTTTGCATTTTCAGTACTACAACTCTTTAGAAGATCTTAAAACAGATGAAGAAATTAAAGAGTGTCTTGAACTAGAAAGAAAAAAAATAGATGAACTTGATAAAGAGATGAAATCACAACAAGGCATCCTTACGAATGTGGACAAAAAACAACAAATACATCCAAACGCAGTTTATACCAGTCGAATCTTTACCACAAAATTGATTTCAACAGATGCTTTTTGTTTACAAATATAAATTATATTGTCATTTCACGTTAATTAAAATTTATATCGAATTTTTAGGCCCTACCAGTGTCAGTTTATATACTCCGAACGATGTCAATTTTAGTATATCACATGAACTCAAAGAGAATGATGATGTATCGAGTGCATTACAAGAAAATTACAAATAAAAGATGAAACACTTCCAACAAAATAAATAATGTTGCGCACTGTTGAAAGAAAATGTTAATTAAACTGTTTAGTCTTGTTTATTTAAACCCAATTAGAAAGACTGACGGTACTCACAGAATCGATATTAACAGTGTTTTGACAACCAAAAGTGGTTTGTATTGTTTATCGACGTCTTTTACTCATATCAATAGATTTTTATCATTTTAACCTCTCATTTAAAGAAAACATAGTTTAATATATCTATAATTTAAATAGATGTTTGCAAATAAAGCATTTGCCAATTAAAATTAAAAAATTTCTTAAACCTATGACCGCAAATTCGATAAATGTTATTATACACTACGTGGTCAAAAGTATTGTACGCAATAAATTGCGCAAAACCCCCCCCACATAATGAAAGCAAAAAATATTATATCATTCGTAGTTTATGTTTTTGTGAATATATATACAAAATTCTACTCTTTTATAATCTCTAGAAAAATAATGAATAAAAAAATAAAAAATTCGTCTAAAATTTTTTCTAATATTAAACCACATAAAACATATATAATAACCACACCTGAACTTAATAAAGTCAATATTTTGTTTGTCACCTATCACTTTCAATAACAACTTCTATTCTTCTTGACATACTTTCTTTCGATTTCATTAGGACATCATAATTTACCTCATTTTTCTTGTAATGCAGACAGGTTCTGAGACGAGAATTTTTCCATCAGATACTTTTTAATGGTACGAGATACTGTGGTTCTATGAACATTGAAAATTTTTGATATTTTTGAATTTGGTACATTATTTTTATAAAGACCCATTATTTCACCACGTTGGCTTTCTGACATTTAAATATTGTATATTTTTCAAAAGTTTTGTTCAAAAATTATTAAAATGATGTTGTTTACCAAAAACTTCAAAACAACTTAAATATTTATTTAAAACGTGTATTTACACATGTCAAAATCTTAGGTATAGTTACTAAGTAAGTTTTGTTCAATTATACTTTTTTTGTAAGAAATATCTTTGGAAAAAGTTTGGGTGAATTCTTTATTTTTTTTATTCATTATTCATTATTTCCTAGACATCACTGAAGAGTAGGATTTTGCATGTATAGTCACAAAAACCTAAGCTACAAAATGATATAATCTTTTCGTGCTTTATTGTGCATTAGAGTGTACAATATTTTTTACCATGTAGTGTATAAAACACATTTTTCTGCTTTGATGATGATTAATTCTACAAGGGCATGATAATGCTCAATTGAAATATCCTGAGAGAACTGTATGCTCTCATAAAAGTTATTAATATCTTAGAATGTAAAATTCAAAGAGATTGGTAAAATTGTGAACCATTTCTTCTCGTTTTTTGTAAAAGAATCTGGTAAGATTTAAAATTTACCTCTTGACCATATTTAACATCTTTTCTACTAAAAGTAACAGATTTTTTCTCGTGTTTAATTTCTGAGAAAGTTTTGGTGTTTCAAAAAGATGAGGAATTGTCAATTTGACAATTCAGATTTTTTAATCGAAGTAATTCTTCACTAAAATAATAATTCTCTATTTTAATTTTATTACATTACTTACTGTCATTTGTATACTTTTAACTATTTGTCTAGTTGATACAATATAATGAGATATAAAATCACAGTAAATGGTTGTTGATTTGAAATAAGACTAATTTTACATTGTATTTTTGTTGTTCTTGTTGATTATAAGGATTAGTTCGATAATTCTGATATGTAATTTGCTTTTTTGCTGATGTTGTTATGTATTTGATATTTATCTTCAAGATGTTTTTATAATGTAGAACACTGTTAGATTTCACAAATAATTGTCTACATTCACGACAAACTGGATGTTCAAAATGTTCAGATGTTTCTTTATTAAAGTATAACCAAACTGATAATTATTTTCATTGGAAAGTATTATTATTAAAAAATGAACTTGTTTGTTCTGAAGCTTGACTGGAATCATCATAAATATCTAATATATCGATTATATCATTTTCAAAGTCTTCACCAATACAATTATCTAACTCTGTTTCTTCAGTATCCTTCAATTTACTCACAGACACAACAAAGATGAATTCATCTATAAATTAGTAAAATTTGCATTATTAACGATTGACAGTGAGAGTAATAACAATGGATATAATATCATGGCTCAAACAATGGTCAAAGTATAGTTTATTTATATAAATATATTGAATATAGCATTTTTAGTTGAGCTTTGTAAAGCTTTAGCGATTTTTATTGCTCTCTCTGTTATTTTACTTAAAGTTGACGTTAACGTTATAATATTATTTGCTTATCGTTATCATTATGTATATCAGTATTACCGTTACGTATTTATACATGTAATACGTATTATTAATGGACCGATTCAAAGACCGATCAAACCACAAACCGAAGGGGTTCAGACCGGTTTAAGACCGGTCTAGAACTGAATCAGACCGAACCGTAACATCTCTAACTGTACATGGCAAGCGCTTTTATATTGTATTATGTTTTTGCGAATTTAACAGCTAGCTATTCTGTTTCCCCTCTGTTTTTCTACGAGATCATTCAAAATTTTTTTAATCGCTTAGTCGATACTAAAGATGTAGATATTTCTCAGGTCAAGGATTACAACCTAGTTACGTCATATTAATTTTGGGTTGCAACCCTAGTTACGGCATGACTTAAGTTATTTCATGTTCTAATGTCTGCGCCTCTAATCGATACCCATTGCTTTATCACTCACAATTTGAACTGCGGAGTTATGGTCAGATTTTTCGAATGACAGTATCTTATTTATATCAATCACTGTTCCCATGGTTTTCTACTGTACTTTATATTCATCGTCACCGTTGTCGAGTTTGTGGATGTCTGTTTCAGTGCAATGAATTACCCTTCTTCTTACAAAATGTACCTGGTCTGAACTATGATTTTATATTTTTTTGACATGTTACCAAAATCTTAGTATTATATGACGAATACGAACGCGACGTTCGCTTCCGTTCGCAATTTTTATAGCTGACGCCCCCCCCATTTCTTCGGTTATACCAAGAAAGACTTGTCCGATGATTTCTTCTATATTGTAATACTTTTTAATGCCATATAGAATTGAATAATACTGCTGATAATAAGAATGAACGTTGCTAATAGAGAAATAAATGTAAGAATGTCTAATGTGAAAAGAGATAATGATAAAAAATTGGCATTTGTTCTGTAAATTTTGGAGAAAACTATAAAATCAATCATAAGCTTTGCCCGAATAAAATATGGCGCAACCAATGATTTAGTATATCTATATGTGAAAACTTTCGCGACGATTCGGTGTGGTATGTTCTTTATTCAAAGCTTCGTGAGCAACAATGAGCTAAGAATTTACGAAACAATGAGTTTTCTTTATTCAATTTATAACGATCAAAGATACGATTTTGTATACATGTATTATATCTAACTATTTATATGATTTCATCAATAAGTTGACAGAAAATAATAAAATCAAAATGGCGCTTACTAAAAGAATAAATGTTGAAATTTGAAAAGCAATCAATAAATCTTTAATAAACGAAGCAATGGAGGAAAGACCTAATTAGGGATTTCGACAACCTCGGTCTCTCCAGGTTGCTGAACAGGGCCATCTTCGCAGTTGTATATCACTGTACACAATTTACCTTTGAGTTTTGTAAAAGGGAAACCTAGACCGGGTGAAGGTACAACAGCTGCAAAAGGAGCTTCAATCCGGATTGGATAGAGAAAACTGTTTAGACTCCAGATAAGTGTGCCTACTGAATCGACTATTTTGACATCATAGTATTCCGATTCGGGTTCGTAGATTTTCCATCCGGGATCGTAGTCCGAGTACAAAGTGGTGTCAATAACTTGATTAAGCTGACCGTCGAGCCACACAGAGCAATCGGGCTGTTGTTGGAATTTAAGCTCGCCAAGAACTTGTTTGTCTAATGTTCCGGCAGGTACAAATCGGCAATGATAGGTTAATTCAGGGCATACATCTCTCTTTTCAATCACTTTTGGCATGGCATTAACCCACGAAGACAAGACAAAAGCGAAAAAAATAAGAGCTACCAAGAAAAACGTTTGCTTCTTCATTTTCATTTGACTAAGTAGCTTAGTTTTGAATGTGCAGAATATGGATTGTGGTCATTTTATATTGATATGTGAAAGTTTGTTTTCATACACCATTTCGATAGATAAGGAAATAGCGAATTTTCATTGATAAATAGACTGCATACATATGCATGCATCACATTTCTAGAATGTTTTACCACAATGATTTTACCATAACGATAACAATAGTAATTCTTTTGGTTAAACGTTAACGTTAATAATCTGTGTCTATTTAAACAAAAACGGAGTGACCGGATCAGTGAAAGTTAATTATTCATAACGATAACACTAAATGCACCCCTTTGTATTTCGCACTGAACTATAACGTACACGTACATTCTGTAATTTTTTCAAGTAGCGGTACATGTATTTCTGCTTGTAATTTTAGGAGGTGTAACAGTATCCCCTACCGCTACGCAAACAATTCAAATCGTTACGCTAAATTCCAAAAAAATTAACTCGCCTAACGCTAACACATGTACAATGCAAGTTTTTTCGTTAAAATATCGTATACTATTTGTGCATATTCTATACTTCAAAACGTCCTATTATAAATGTGTCAAATAACGAGAAAGGATTTCGTTCTTGAAACTTTTATTCTTATCAGAATCTTTTTATTACATGTATTCACTAATTTCTTTAAGTTGTAATTTGTTTTAACAATTTTATTCCTAAAATAAAAGAAATTGATACTGATATCGATATTAGACTGAAATACCAGAATAGTGAAATTTGATGTTGACTTAGAAATCTCTTCTAATCTATTCTATAAATTCATGGGAAAATTAAAAATTGTGCACCTTTGTTGACATATCGATATACATGTATCTCAAGTCTCGAGAAGCAGAAAATATGATTATTTTAGATTTGATGGTACGCAGAGCTAAATAATACATATAAAAGGCTTCTTGTACATGTACTGAACATATCCTCAGTTTCACGTTTATACACCACCTGCCAAAATTTGCAAGCTTTAACGTCAAAGGCCAATTGTAACGGTAATACATGTACATCCATCCATCCAAATTCATTTAAGGGTAGAGTATAATACAAAGATCTTCATATACATGTACATGTATATCGATAAATACTTGGTTACACCTATATTATTCTAGAACGAATGATTTCGTTCTAGAACAAATGATCTTCATTATCGTTATCGTTATAACATTGCGATTAGCACACTTTTTCGTGATTTTTTTTTACCTTTATCATTATTATTAAAACTTTATTGATTTATTTATATGTGTACATTGTTCACTCAAACAATAAATCTGATACTAACGCTAATTTATATATTCTGGTGGTAAGAGTTTAACATGTATTTGTCTATAAATTCGATCGTGAAAAAATTAATTTCCAAAATTCTATTCCTATTTATATAGATATTATTCGTACTGCATTTAATTTACTTTTTCACCCAATAGTACCAGTCTTTAGCTCTTGCTTTGAAATGTACATCCACAGCGAGGCCAGTTATTATAAGCTTATAATTTTTGGTTATCAAGCCACACACCACTAGGTCAGCAAGTGCTAAGCAGCCAAATCGTTGTTTTTGAGTAATTTTGGTTTGACAGATTTTGCAGAGTCAGTATAAAACGGAAGTTCGTCGAATTTTGTTTTATGAACACCTGCATTTCGGTTACGTCAGAATACATTCATCACATCAGTTGGTCGTATTTCCTCAGCGAATTGCGTGGTTAGTATTCCCAAAACATCTAACATTTTCTCAATTTCGTTGCAATTATTTCGTTGCTCTGGTGTATCTTGGAAACATCTCAAACAATTATCGCATCTTTCGCATACCGCTGGTATTGATTCATTTGGCCACGCATATATGTGAGCAACAATTTGTAAGCGACATTTGTATGTATCCATGCAGAATAATATCATTTCGAAAATATTTTGTTGACCTGATGTTAAATATTGATCTGTTTTTTGCGCATCAGTGAAATCACTATCGCCAAGAATTTGCCATTAGTTTTTAAATCAATAGGTTTCATAATTCAAGTACTCACCTTTCCCAACCTTCTGAGAGTATTGAATAGAGTGTTCACAGAATATAAGATCACAATTTTGGCAACATCACCATTCCTATCAGCACGTCCAGATTTCTGGATGAAATTAGCTTTTGTAAAGCAAGTGAAAAAATTAATAAGAAATTCATATAAACTAGATCATTTTCCCCTTAATACTAACACATATTCATTGGCATTGTATAATGCATTACCAATCTAACATCATTAACATCTATGCTCATTCCAAATGCTGACGTCGTGATCAAGACCTTTGTTTCTCCAGACAGCCACTTTTTCATTGCTGCATTTTTTTCAGTTTCTGCCATTTTGCCATAAAAAATATTTAGAATTTCATCGTCCAAAGATTCCGTTAGCATTTCCATCACTTGAATGCATTGTTGCTTACTTGCACAATATATGATTATTTCAGCAGTCACCTGATTTATAATGATCATAAGGTCATCCATAACGCCATTATTATGTTCTCGTTTCTTGATTACTTCATATATTAATTTACTTCGTACAAGACTTCCACCTCGAATAATAGCCAATTTATTGAAATCAAACCGTAACTTATCATATAACAAGATTATATCTTTGTATGCAATAGTGACAGTCATTGCGAGAATGGACACAGTTGGATATCTCTCTTTTAGAAGGTGCAATTGGCTCCAAGCATCTCTGTAAATGCAAAATTCTGTAATCATTATTATATCTTAATAATTTGTGATTTTTAGAATTCAACAATTGTTATTACCTAAAGTATTCATAATCAAACGTGCAATATACCTCGTCTATAACAAAGCGCACTTTGTTCTCTTGATTTAACCGATTCAAGAATATCCTGAAACATTTGTTCATAAACAGTTTTTTGGGAGTAATGAAAAGCAACTGAGTTCAACCGATTTCCATAATATCTTTTCTTCAGACTTGATCATAGATTCAATCAATGTGTATAATCCTGCACAAGGTATTCCAGCTGCCAAGAATTTTGCCTTCATCATAAAAATAATTAGACTTTGAATAAATTTTATTCATATATGTTATTATTGGGTGCGGCCCAAAATCCCGACTGCCAAAATCCTGATACCCAACATCCCGACACCCAACATCCCGACATTGCCAAAATCCCGACTCCCCAACATATCCAAAATCCCGAATGCCCAAAATCCTGACATCCAAAATCCCGAACGCCCAAAATTCTGACATTCCCAAAATCCTGACAATACACTCAAAATTATCGATAGATGTATTGTTACCGAAGTAGCATTAAATTCTTCAATTCCGTAATTTTGATCTTCAAATTCTACATGAAAATTTTTCCATAACGACATACGTGATAATCCTTCCAAAATTAATTTCTTGTGCAACGGCAAGTTCTATTGTAAACCAAATTTAGGTATTTCGTTAGATATTACCTTTTTTTATTTTAATTTGATTTTATTTATCGTATTACGAATATTCCATCGTTCTGTTAATACGTATAACGTATGCGACGATCAACGAGAGGGTAACAATCATAACAATTATTCAAACGATCAAGAGCACTGAACGATAATCAATACACGTAACGGTAACGATTATCGAGAGGATAATCCCGAAAATAATCTGGAGGAGCATCGACGAAATGTATGTAACGATAGTGATTGCTGGAAGAGCAACAATCACCGCAAATCACAGACAATTGGGAAACATCGAACGATTATTAACAAAAAGTAACAATAGTGATTAACAAGAAAAGGAGAGATAGATGTCTCGACAATTATCTGGACAATTGAAAGACACCAAACGATTATTGTTTAGTTGTTCTAAGAGAAACCATCAATGTAAAATACTAACCGTATGATTAGCGTAGTAATTCAAAAAATTTGCACATAGAAGCGTTCTTGGATTTCAGAGAAGACAAAGACATGCTTTGATCGTGTTTTTAATCGAATAAAATAACAAAGTTTTACTCGTAATAATATTATTTTCTTTTGTTTCGTGATCAAACTTCAGTGGATGCTCCTCCACTTAAAATAAGCCATTGTTTTTCTTTGATTTGATTTCGTATTTCTTTATACAGGCCGTACCAATAAGTCTTGTGGAATTGATTTTGTTTTCTTTGAACAGGCCATACCAATAAGTCCTGTTGAATTGTTTTTACTTTTGATTTTGTTTTTTCGAACGGGCCGTATCAATAAGCCCTGTTGAGTTGTCTTTTAGTATTAGTCTTTCTTGGACAGGTCGTATCAATAAGTCCTGCCACATTTTTTAATATATCGATTATTGTTAAGTATAAATATTTTAGTATGACGAATTGATTCTTATTAAAAGAGTGATTCTACCTTATCTTATTCTCCCCTTCAAACACCCTCTCATTATTTTGAAAAGGTCGATTTTTGAACAAACCGCCACAGGAAACCTCTAGGAAAACTGGAGAGACTCTCCAACAGTAAATAATTCAGTCTAATCCCCACCTCTGTTGCAGAAAGTTCCTTGAATCGATTGATTATTGTAATAATCTGGTGTCCCCAACCATTGCAAAATAACTCCTTTCAGCAAATATTGGAGGGAACGCAACAGTATGTATGTAAAAACGCATGTAATAAATAATGATTATCACTATCGTAGCGATTATAAAGGGTGAAATTTGTACTAATATTATAAATAATGATTATCACTATTATAATAATTATAAAGGGTGAAATTTGTACTAATATTACTATAGTCTTACATTGTCCCTTATTCTTATTTCTATTTATTTACATATCCTTGCTCTTTATTTTTATGCATATACATACATTTTCATTAATATATAGAGTTTGATTAATTAATGTAAATTATTAAACTTCTAAAAATGAATGAAATTTGTGAAGTTGTATCTTCTCAAAAAGACAATAATAAAAATCTATGTGGTTATTGATGACAAAAGAACGAAGTTAAGAAAATATTTTTTATTGGTGCTGTGGAAAAAGAAAATCAGAAAATTGCAAAGGTCAAGCTACAACATTTTTTCTTAATAATTTACACTACCTTTAAAAATTTGTTAATCATAATCACATACCTCAGGCTAGCAGTGCTGAAATTGCAAAAATGAATGCTCATATTAAGCAACAAGTCCAAGAAATACATAACCAACCTATACAAATTATTCAGAGCAATAATATTAATATTTCAGAAAAGATCCATATATACTATTATATAATGCACTTTGTAAAAAAATTCAATATGTGAGAAAAGCAAATATACTATCACAACCACAAAGTCTTAGTGAAATCAATATTCTGAATTCACTTTATATTACTTTAAATATTGATTTATTTTAGTAAGAAATTTCACAATCAATCAAGAACAAATTCTTCTATTATTACCAGAAATAATATTTGATATTTATCTCAAGCACAATTCTAGATTATGAATAAAATATTTAAAACAGTGCCAACAATCTTTTATCAGTTATATACTATTTATACATCTGTTGGTGCAGAAATAACTTCAGAATTCTTTTATTAATATATATTTTGATATCTAATAAATCAAAAGAACTTTACAAATGGCTTTTCAAGAATTAATTAATTTTGCTAAAGAAAATGATATTTAATTAAGTCTATTTAGAATTCTTACTGACTTTAAGTAGGTAATAATTAATGCATTACATGCTAAATTTTCCAATGTAAATAATAAGAGATATTTTTTTCACTTAAAACAAAGCAGTTGGCAAAAAATTCAACAGTATAAATTGGTAATTCAATATAATACTAATAAGTATTTTAATCTTATAATATATTATTTATTTATCTTGATATTTTTATTATTTACTAAAATACCAATAGCTTTTGATATTTTAAAATCAGTAATATCTTCAGAAGCAAATAAATTAATAGAATAATTATATTTATAGAAAGATATATTAACAATTATAAAATAATAATGCAATTCATTCTCCACCACTCTTTCATTACAATTATAATCTGTATATAATTCAATTAAATTAGAAATTTTACAAACACAAAATATTATAAAAGTATAACATTATTATTAGAAAACTTTAATTAATCAAGCATATATAAATCTTTATACTATTATTCAAGAGTTTCAAAAAGAACAAAAATAATAATAAAAAATAATTAACACAAATTTAAAAATAATAAGAAAAAATGAATAAAAAGAAAAGAAATTAAAAATAAAGCATATTTAAATAAATAATATAGTCTATATTTTACATTTAATCTATTTGGTGAAATATTAAGTGTAAATTTGTATTAATTTCTAATATATTATACAAAAAATAATAAATATAACACAAAAAATAATGAATATAATACAAGAAAATACAAGAGTATATGAAAATTATTATATTTAAGTTTAGTTAATCTATAATTTATTTTTGTTTTATTATTCATAAATTTTAAGTGACAAAGATACTTTCAATTCTTAATAATCATATCAAAATATTTTTATTTGGTTCTTCTTTATAAATTGAAATTTTAACTAAAATTTTTGAATTGTTATTTCTACTATTATTATTTATGATAGATACTTGATCAATGCTATCACTACTAATAGTATTTTTATTTTGTTATTGCTATAATTGTTAAAGTTATTAATTTTATATTTTCAATTAATTTAAATAAGATTGAATAACATTAGCAAGAGTTTGCTGTTATGTTAATAAAGAGACAAATTCATTTATAAATTGATAAAATTATTATTGATTCATTATAGTATATGTATAAAGTATAAGTATTTAAAATATATATATAAAATATATGTTTAAAGTATATATATATATAATATATATATATAAAGTATATGTATAAAGTTTATATATAAAGTGTATATAAAGTATATATTATAACTTTAATAATCATTATCTGTTATTATCAAATTGTAAGAATACTTTCTTATATAAATAATATTATAATAAATTTATAAATTATTATAAATAAATTATATTAATTGAGATAGTTTTTAGTTTTAATTTTAATAAAGCTTATTTTTTATTTATTAAATAATAAATAAATCTAAAAAGCTTAAGTACAGAACAAAAATATTTAAATATATAATTATTATTTTATAAATTACAAATAAATTAATAATAAATAAAAAGTGATTGGTTCTAAATTATTAATTTTAAAGATAATGCATCTTTAAGTTATATTGTACTTAATTAGATATATATAAATATAAATAATAATATAAATATTGATAAAAATAATTAATATAAATTTAAAAATAATAAATACAAAATAAAAGAAAAAATAAAATAAAAAATAAAAAAAATTAAAAATAATATATATCTAAATTAATAATATAATCTATATTTCATATCTAATCTATTTGATAAAATATTAAGAAGTATTAATGTAAATTTGTATTAATTTCTTATATATTATATTAAAAATAATAAATATAATACAAAAATAATGGATATAATACAAAAAATACAAGAATTTTTATAATAAAAGAGTTATAAAAAGAAAAATATTAAAAAAAATAAAAGATTATAAAATAAAAATTTAATTAATAATATTAAAATAATAAAATTTTTTTATAAATAAAAATATTATATATTTAACAAGTAAAAAATATTAATATAATAAAATATCAAAAATATTAAAATAATAAAATTTAAATA